CCTCAAGGGCACTGTCGGATTGATCCGACTGCAGTAAGATTGTGTTTGTTCCGCGTGTGCTCCTTTGTGTACTCAGGACGCCAATACACTTCCATTATTTTGTCGTGGGTGTTTAGTCTCGCCTTTGGTGGCTAGATCGAGGGGTTGTTGAAAGGCGCACAGAAACCATATCCAGGGAACAAACGAAACAAAAATGGTTCTTCGGAAAGCGTTTATGGGGTGGGAGGAGGGGATTTTAAGCGCGAGCGCAGAATGTATGCAAAAGTCAACAACGGATAGAAAAAAATTGCGTCATATGCAGTTATTGTCTGTGAAAGACATTATTCTTAGACTTAAATCTCCCGCACAATAATCGTTCACACTAACGATTTGCGTAATAGCTGCTTATTTTACCTCGGTATTTCTATGTCTGGAATACTGACAAATTAAGCTACTACAGCAGACTTTATAGGTTATTGTTCACACTTCTGCATTTCGTGGATATCTGAATTTCTACACAGGCGATTCCTTGTAAACGCCCTTTCTCATGTGTCGGCGGAGGAACGACCAGAAAAGCCTGTCTGGTCGTTCCTGTGAAATAAAATAGCAAATGTTGTTTTGGAAAAATTCCATGTTCTTCAGCCGCGGAACTACAAAGGTCTGTACATTTTATTGTACTGCACTCCCTCACCCAAGTGCATGTACTTACATTTTCCCTCTCTTCAAACAATATAACAAAGATGATTTAATTTCAGAGGAAGAGTTAATTAAACTCTAAGTACTGACGAGAACCGACAGAATAAAGTATGATTGAAAGGAGGTCAACTACTTTGGGAACGAATAGTTTCTTATTGTGGGATATTTTGAAACGCGTTTGCCGTACAATGAAGCAATGACTAAAGTTCTGATGGTAATATACAGTATTGCGAGTGCCGCAATTTACATGCCTTTTTTTGTAAAAGTTTGATTATTTCTCGCATACCAGCGAGAACGCATTAACGAAAAGTTATAAATAATAAATAGCAGCATTACGCACATTAAGCGTTTAAAAGAACTATAAGAAGTACTAAGTTTTTCTTAAGAAAAATAAAATCTTCTCGATAATCCCGGATTTTGGAGACGTAAAAATAGCTATAAATTACAACAATAAATTTAGATATTTTTTAAGTATAAAGACTAAATCAACCACTTTCTTTATATGAAAAGAACCTTTCTTTAGTCAAAATATTTTATAAATATTACCATTAGTGGATAACTGTTTACTGAATATCGTGGAATAAAGTCTCTGATCATTTCGCTCGTCTTCGGTGTCTTCGTCGACAAGTTGACATCAAAACCTTTAAA